AAAAAAAAAAAAAAAAAAAAAAACCCTACTGTCAGATTTAGAATAATTACTGAATTTGAAAAAGGAAAGGAAGAGATTTTTAAGTTTGCAGTATATAAGAGATGGCCTCTGTTTCTAAATTCCAGTGGAAGAAAGCAATTTGTGGCAAGACCTAAAATCTATGATTTCATGCCATAATTTGATATGAAAGGAATAAGGAATCACTACAGACTCCAAGAAACGTTACTGATCACTACTCTTCTTAACTGAAGCCCAACTAGTTGCTCTCCTGATCCAGGTTTCATTTAAATGTCCTCTCTTCCCTGCTCATCCTAACACACTAGCACCCCTGCCTCATTACCGCCTGACCTACTACTGTGTTATATTTTTTCCATTTGTTCACTTGTTTCTTTTTTCCTCCTCTGTATTTCATTAAAATGTAACAATCACAAAGACAGGAGTTTCTGTGTATTGTTAACTGCTGTGGCCCAGTGCCTAAATCATGTCTAATACACAGTGGGTACTCAAGTTGAGTGAGTTAATGAATTCATTTTGTCAAGCCTTAAATAAGTTGAATAACAAGCCATCTTGGTCAATATTTCTCAAGCTTTAGTTTGTGAGTTGTCCATGAATATTTTAAAAACTTTTGGTTTTTCTTTGAAGATAACATACTAAAATTTAAATTCATTCTGAATCATCTGGATGATCTTTTGGATGGCAGGTAATTTAAATACTGGTCTTTTTGCTGTTGTTTTTGCAATCCCCTGGGCACCGTGTTGGACTCTTTTACTTGTTTGTAGGCTAATGAGAAAGGAAAGAGGCAGATTCGTTAGGCAAATAACCTGTTTTTTTTCCTAGCAAAAGTTTAACAGTGCCATGTAGGAAGAGATAATTTCCTTGCTATTTAAATAATTTCAAGCATAGAAAACGACAGAAGCTTTCCAATTTATGTAAAAAGTTTTCCTCATCTGGAGAGTTACAGAACTGTGTTAATTGATCACTAAGGCTTCTTCCAGTTTCACTGTTTTAAATTTTTTTTTCATATTTATTCATTTATTTTAAGAAATAGAAGAGAGTGCACACAAGCAAGAGAGGGACAGAGAGAGGGGGAGAGAGAATCCCAAGCAGGCTCCATGCTGTCAGCACAGAGCCCAACATAGGCTTGATCCCATAAACTGTGAGATCATGACCTGAGCCAATATCAAGAGTCCAATGGTAAACTGACCGAGCCACCCAGGTGCCTCTTTGTAACTGTTTTGAATTTGAAATTAAAATTCCCCAAATAGAAAAAAATAATTTTTAAAAAAAGTTTATTTATTTCTTTTGAGAGAGTGAGAGGGCACGTACACGCACATGAGCGGGGGAGTGGCAGAGAGAGAGGGAGAGAGAGGATCCCAAGCAGGCTCCACACTGTCAGCATGGAACCCGATGTGGGGTTTAATCTCAGAACTGTGAGATCATGACCTAAGCCCAAATCAGAAGTCAGATGCTCAACTGACTGAGCCACCCAGGTGCCCCAGAAAAACTTAATTACCATGGGGGCTGACATACACACCTACATACTAAAGTAGCAGCAGCAGCAACAACAACAACAATGTAAACTCCACAAGAATCAGGCGGAGTGTTGTCACAATTGGTGTAAATGAAGGTATATAAATTCTACTCAGTCTCTGCCCAGCCAGCAAATCCATAATAGTAAAACCAAATTTGGAAGCTCTTTCTGATTCCTTTCCTTACAAGCTTAGGACTGAAATCTTTTCTCTGTTCATGAATCAGGTTTATGTATATTCGTGTCTTCAACCCATTATTAAGAGGCTGCACCATACAACATGCTAGGGGATCGAGGAGAGCAAACCAGGTCCTAGCCCTCAGGCAGCCAGGCTGAACTGTTGACCTAAGCTTAGAACATGCATTTAAAAGAGATAGTTCACCTTGTCTTTCAGCTTGTAGTTTTGTGAGAAGCTGTTCTTTCACAGCTTTAATCGCTGCTTCGGTGGCCTCAGCGATAGTATCGCTTATTAATGACTGAAGGGCTTTATCAAAACGTGGTTGAACAAGTTTGGCATAGTCAATTACCTGCAAAGAATATTTGAGAAAAGCAACAAAAGCACAAATCACATGAATATTAAACACATTGTTCACCCGTATCTATTTCTAGATCTATACTTACCTATCTCAAACATCTTAATGCTGCTTGAAGTATGTTATTTTCGGAATTCAATGTTTTTGAGTACGTGCTTTCATAGAAATTCAGTCATACTTTCCATGTAGTATGATGTATTTATATATGTATGTATCATGTAATATATATTCAAGTTACGTATTTTTAAGTCAATTTTTCATGGATAACTTACATACAACAAAAGGCATCCATTTTAAGTATACAGTCTAATGAGCTTTGACAAATATATACACATAACAACTATAATCAATATATAGAACATTTATATCACTCCAGAAAGTTCCCTTATGCTTCTTTATAGTTAGTTCCTGGGCCCTGGACACTACTTTCTGTTTTCTGTCACTATATATAAGTTTTGCCTTTTCTAGAACTTCATATAAATAGAGCCATTTAGTATGTAATCTTTCTAACCTTTTCTCCTTTATACACTGTTTTTGAGATTCATCAGTGTCATTGCATACATCAGTAAACAGTTCCTTTTTATAGTTAAGCAGTATCACTGAATGAATATGCCGCAGGTTTTTTTTTTTATTCATTCATCTATTGATGGACACTTGCGTTTTTCCAGTTTGGGGCTGTTATATAAATAAACTAGCAATGAACATTTGTGAGGAAGTCTTTTTGTGGTCATATGTTTTTATTTCTCTTAGACAAATACCTAGAAGTGGAATTACTGGGTCATATTGTAAATGTGTATATGATTGAAAAAAAAATTTTTTTAATGTTTATTTATTTTTGAGAGAGATAGAGAGAGACCAAGTGCAAGCGAGGGAGGGGCAGAGAGAGAGGGAGACACAGAATCCGAAGCAGGCTCCAGGCTCCGAGCTGTCAGCACAGAGCCCGACATAGGGCTCGAACTCACGAACCGTAAGATCATGACCTGAGCCAAAGTCGGACACTCAACTGACTGAGCCATCCAGGCGCCCCAAATGTGTATTTGATTTTACAATAAGCCATTAAACCATTTCCAAAGTGGTTGGACTACTTTACTTTCCTACCAGCAAATGTATACAAATTACAGTTACTCCACATCTTCACCAACACTTGGTTTTGTGAATCTTTTAAATTTTAGCCATTGTAGCGGGTGTGAAGAAGTATCTCGTTGTAGTTTAAATTCACATTTCCCTGATCACAATTCATTTTGACCTTCTTTTTTGGGTGCTGTTGGTCAATCACTCGCCTTCTGTTTTTAATCATATGTTCAACTTTTGGCCATTTAAAAAACCGGGTAATAATTCTCTATATATTCTGAATATAAGACCATAAAGGATATGCAAAGGACTTTAGGCTGTTACATATTTCTAATTGTCATCCCTAATGGTTATGCTCTTACAAGCATTATATGAAAATGTACTTCTCCACATCCTAGCCACACATCAATATTGGGTATTAACAGTGATCTTTCAACTCCAACAGTGAGATTGACAGATCTCTGGGGTTTTTTGGCATCTCTCTGGTTATCAGGGAGGTGATAACCATTTTCTCATGATTAATGGCTATGCTGTTGTATCTATTATTTTGGGAATTGTTTGTTTGCTACTTTTTTCCATTAGGGCTTCATCTGCACTTTGGTTTGTAAGAGCTCTTTATATTTTAAACTTATAATTCCTTTGTCTGACACATACTTTAATATAATGTTTGTGGTTTGTAAACAAACCATATGTGGTAATGATAAACCACAGAGTGGTAGAAAATATTCATAATGCTTATTATCTAAAAAGAACTTGCATATAGACAATTTAAGGAATTCCTACCAATAATATGTAAAAAAAATTTTTTTTCAAATGCCCAATAGGCTTGAGCAAACATTTCAAAAAGAGAATATTTGAATGGCCAATAAACAAAGAAAAAATGTCTAACCTCATTCATTTCAGGGAAATGCAAATTAAAACCACAGGGAGATACACCTATTAGAATGGCTTAAATTAAAAAGACTGACCATAACGAAAGTTGGAAGAAATGTGGAATAACAGAATTCTCACACACTGCTGATCAAGTTATAAATGGATAGAATTCATTTGGAAAAGTTTGGCATTCTCTACACAAGTTGCATACTCAATGTCCCAGGAATCTTACTACTAGATATATCTCCAAAACATATAAAGATACCATGTGTGCACCATAAGACATGTACAAGAATGTTTATAGCAATATTATTCATAATACTCAAACTGTAATCAATCCAAATTTTATCAACACTCAAGTGGATAAATAACTTATAATATAATACAATCAATATAATGCAATAAAAAATACATAGATCGAGGCTATATGCAGTAACATGTATAAACAAGACGCATAAATATCATCATCATAATGTTAAGTGAAAAAAGCCAGGCACAAAGAACATAAATTGTCTAAGTCTAGAAAGTTAAAAAAAAAAAAAAAACATGCAAACTAATCTATGGCATTGGATGTACACTTCCAAGGTAAAACCATAAGAGAAAAGAATAGGAGTGAATACCATCAAGTTCGGGGCAGAACTTACCTTTGTGGAAGGAATAAGAGGATCAACATTGGGAAGAGGCATGAGGGGGTTTTCAGGGTGCTGGCAACTCCATATTTGTCCTGGGTGGTGGTTATATGGGGTTTTTTTGGTGATAATTCACTGAGCTTCACTTTTCTGTTTGTTTGTCGTATGTTAGAGTTAAAAAGTTAAAGCAAATAGAAAATGTCACCCCTGAGTTCAAAGGAATAGCACTTGAAAGAAATCCAAACTCCTTCTTCTCAGGGCTGCAGTGTTCTGTCTGACTACATCTTCGGCCCTCATCATCTTCTGCCTTCCCCCTTGTGTTCTCTACTCCAGCACACTGGCCCTCGCAGAACTGCTGTCCATTCTAACCCCTCACCGAATCCTTGGGTTCTGCCTTCAAATTATACCCTCCATCTGCCTACACCTTACCACCTCTACTGCTATCACTCTGGTCGAAACTATACATAATTTCTCTTCACTTTACTGAGGGTGGAGAACAAGATCTCTGGGGAGAGAGGCCAAGGAATGGACAGGCCAGGGTGTCTGTCACCACAGAGGGTCATCTTGGCAGATACTAAGGATGATGGCAGGAGTGACTGTATGGAGAGAGGGATGGTGACCTAGGACTGTGACCCAGGAAACAGGAGATGAATGAAACCAAAACAGTCCACATGACATAGCAGTCAAGTCTGGGGGCTTTGGGGAAGCAGGGAAAGGCTGTGGACTCGGAAACTGCAATAAGCAGCAAGGGGGAGGCTTTCCCCACACCAAACCCAGTGAAACAATTACCCAATTGACGGTGTGAAATTAAGAACACTAAATACAAATCTTGTGAATCCGAAAGTCCTACAAATTATAGTCAAGTATAGGTAGGTAGATAGCTAGCTAGCTGAATGAGTACTTACCTTTCCTTTGTAATTTTCTGCAAGCAAATTGCTAAGTGTTGTTTTCCCTGAAGACTGAGGTCCAAATATGAATACTTTAAATGGTGGTGCCGGCATAGGCGGAAGAAGATAGGGACGTGGGTTCAATAAAAATTTTTTTAATGCTTCTTCTGATGAAAGACAGTACATTTTACCTAGAAAACTTAAAATATGCCATAATCATAAACAACTGAAAAGAGGTACGGACAAGTTTTAAATTTAAGTTGTGAAAATCTTACTTACCTCACGGAAAAGTCTGGTAGTCCTGGATAAATGTTACCTTCTTTTAAAGTCACAGGACATGTACGTCCCCATCTGCTTCTCTGCCATCTATACCTTGGTGCGATAAGTTTATAAGATGCAAGAGTACGGAACAGCTCATCCTGTTAATCACAAATACCGCACTAAAAATGTGGGCATCATTTTGCTAAAATTAACAGTATGAAGTATTTAATTTTTTAGTTGGTAGTGCTTTGCTATTTAAGAAAGAATTTATTAAGAAAATTTTGGCTTTTTTTCTTAATTGCAAACATTCTGTACTTGTCCAAAATGTAATAAGACAAATAGTTGTCATTTCTATTATGACCCTGGTTTAAATTTTATCGAGCATTTTGTGCTATAAAGTAGAAAGACTATAATGTAGATAGAATGTTTTTTATGATCTTCTTGTATTACCTGATTTGAAAAAATTCTTACTGAAAAGGTTTGAAAATGCACCAGATTCTTAGTTTAACTAAGTTTTTAAATTGTAACATGTTATATACAGGTTGCTTTTTTTTTTTTTTTTTTTTTTTTTTTTTTTTTTTTTTTTTTTTTTTTTTTTTTTTTTGCATTTATTTAGCTCTTTTGTTTTTAAGATAAAAAGTGCCCCTCAGTATTCCTCTGTTGGTGCCCTCCAGAGAAGTTAGGTCCACTTTTCCACAGACTGCAGATTGCTGAGGGGTTCACTGTCCTCATGCTACCTTAGCAGGGGACGAAAGAGCCGGGGAGAGAGAGCATGGTGAGCAACTGCCAGGGGGAAAAGGATCCAGGTACGCTCTCTCCAACCTTCAGATGTAGATCTCACACGTATCTGCTGGCTCCAGAGTTGACTGTAGAGGACAGGTGAGAATGGGGTCTCACCTGGACCTCTGTAGCATCAGAGAGTAAAGAGGCATGCACACTGCGGGGGATGCTGCATGAATGTTGGAAACTGAAGGTTGAAAGAAGTAGCTAACTGTTAAGGAGACTGTCGCTGCTTAGAGGAGTTGCATGAAACCAATAACATAATCAGTGGGCCACATTAGGCTACCACCCTTCTCGATGGAGTCTACAGACAACGAACCAGGGACTGAAACGTATGTAGTTAAGCCAGGAGGCGGTCGCTCTTTCCTTATCATCTCTACTTCCTGTCCAAACTTGGGAAAAGTATTTGAAAAGCAGACGCTGAGCATTCTCTCCAGGAAAGGGTGTTTGAATGGCAGACCACGCTCCTCTCTCAACCATTGTCACATCCATAATACAATAGTGTCAGGAACGCAGTAGTTATATGAAAAAAGGGTTCAATGATTTGAAGGAATAAATGAGTGTTTATAGAGCTGAGGGCTTTTATGATGTCTCTGCTTTCTTTGGTGTTGCAAGATTTTTAAAATGAAATTGAGTTTCTTTCTCATTATTCTTGTGGTTGTTTTGATTTTATTGTCTTTGTTTCAAGACTTTTGTGTTTATCTTATTTATTTATTTATTTTAAAAAATATTTTAACATTAATTCATTTTTAAGAGACAGAGAGAGACAGAGTGTGAGTGGGGGAGGGGCAGAGAGAGAGGGAGACACAGAATCCGAAGCAGGCTCCAGGCTCTGAGCTGTCAGCACAGAACCCAATGCAGGGCTCAAACCCAGGAACTGTGAGATCATGCGACCTGAGCTGAAGTCGGACACTTAACCGACTGAACCACCCAGGACCCCCATCAAGAGTTTTGTTGTGTTTAGTGTTTCTAGAATTTGTGTTAATTATTACAGCTTCTTCCTAAAAATCAAACCCATTCTTGTGAAAGGTATCCTGAAATTCCTTTTATACCTTGAAAGAATACATTAAATTAAGGCCACAACATATAGTGAAAAGATAGACTTTCAAACAGTTAAAAATAACTTACATTGTCCATTATGTCATTAATTTCTTCTTCTGCACTCTGAAGTTTAGTTAAAACAGCTGCTCTTTTTAGGTTCAGATATTTAAGTCGGTCCATAACTGTCTAAATTTGTTAAAGAAGAAATATTTAAATACATTGGCATTTGAACACCTCAAATACTCTGTAACAGTGATGAGCTTATGAGTAGAATACTTCCTTGCCTCCACCTTCTGGTGGTTTGCTGTCAATGTTTGGTGTTCCTCCAATCTCTGCCTTTGATGTCACATAGCTATCTTCTGCCTGTGTGTCGAGTCTCTTCTCTTACAAGGATACCAGCATATTGGGTTAGTATTGAGTTCACTCAGTATGAACTCATCTGGACTTGATTACATCTGAAAAGATCCTGTTTCCAAATAAGGTTACATTCACAGGTATTGGAAGTTAGGACCTCAACATATCTTTTGGGGGTACACAATTCAATCCATAACAGTTTGCCCTCTGGTCCCCAAATATTCATGTCCTTAGAGATCTAGTTCTGTGGGAACTCTTCAGAAAGAGGGAATACAGCCATGTCAAGATGCAAGCAGATCTTAGAGTTGGCTGCCATGATCCAAGAGATGCCTGGGACCACCAGAAGCTGGAAAAGGCAATGCTGGATCATCCCCTAGAGGCTTTGGAGGGAGCAAGGCCTGGCCAACACCTTGATTTTTTTTTTATTTCTAACCTCTAGAACTATAAGAAAATAAAATTTTTGTCACTTTAAGCCACCTAATTTGCTACAGCAGAATTAGAAACTAACAGGGACATTATGCAGAAGAACATGAAACGTAGACTCTGAGATGAGAGATGGTGGACTGACAAAGTCCTGATGGTCAATGGTAATCTGTGGTGGATTGTGTTATTTGTTCATTAATTTACCCTTCTCTCCCTTCCCTTTTTAATTCCCTAGTTCACTGTGGGTAGAATACACTTCCCTATCCCACTGATATTGAGCTTCTCCGTGTAACTTGTTTTGGCCAATGGAATAGGCAGGAAGACCAGGGTGCCAATGACAATTGAAGCCTTAACAGGCTTAGGAAGTTTCAACCAAGGCCTATTGGAGCTTCTGCCCTCTACCTTGAGAAAAGTGTCCTGGTTTGTAAAATCCAAATTCTGGATATGTTTTGAAGGAAAAACCTGCTTGGGTGTGGGATGTTAAAAAAAAGAGAAGAGCAGATTGAAGAGTGGATTAGATGCTTACTGAAAGGGGAAACCTGTGACAGGAGTGTATCTGGGGCAGGTGGTGGTGATGGTGGATCTGGGGATTTTTGTTAAATCTGAGATAACTACTAGACAGCCAATTGGATACACCGAGTAGCAGCTGATTATATAGGCATGGAATTCAGGGGAAAGGTCTGGGATAGTAACAGCACTTAGTAGGGCAGACAGAAGAGTGCAGAAGGAGCGAGGTCAGGTTTTCTCCAGCTCTACAGATGAGAGAGTGTAGAATGTTCAGTGAGGTAGAATGGACTATACAGTGTGGAGTATATTCTTTATTTAAAAAAAAGCTTCATTGAGATACATTTCACATAAGTATAATTTATCCATTTAAAGTATAGCATGGCTAAAATTAAATGGTTTTTAGTATATTTAGATTTGTGCACTCATCACCACAATTAATCCTAGAACATTTTAATCACCCCAAAAAGAAACGCTTTATCCATTAGTAATCACTTCACATTCATCCCGAGATCACCCATTGTGGCAACCCTCACCCCAAGCAACTGTTTTCTATTTTCTATTTTCTATTTTGATCGATCAGTCTATTTTGGATATTTTATATAAAAGGAATCATACAGGACCTTTTGTAACTTTTATTTTACCGAGTAGGTGTTCAAGATTCATCCATGTGGTAGCATGTATCAAAACTCCATTCTGTTTTATTGCCAAATAATATTCCAGTGTATAGGTACACCACATTTTATTTGTCCATTCATCAATATGTGGCATTTGGCTTGTTTCAACATTTTGGCTATTGTGATTAGTGCTGCTATGAACCTTCATGGACAAGTTTTTGTTTGAACACCTGTTTTCAACTATTTTGGCTATAGATACCAAGAGGTTGATTGCTGAGTCATGTGGTAATTCCATGGTTAGCTTATTGAGGAACTACCAAACTATTCCAAAGTGGCCACACCATTTTACAATCCCACCAGCAATATATGAAGGTTCCAACTTTTCCACATCCTCACCAACACTTACTACTGTTGTGGTTTTTTTTAAATGTTAGTCATTTTAGTGATGTGAAGTGGTATCTCATTATGGTTTTGGTTTGCATTTCCCTAATGGCTCCTGTTAAGCATCTTATCATGTGCTTATCGGCAGTTATTTGAGACACTTTTTGTCACACAGAGATTTAAAAATTTTTTTTTAACATTTATTTATTTTTGAGACAGAGAGAGACAGAGCATGAGCAGGGGAGGGTCAGAGAGAGAGGGAGACACAGAATTCGAAACAGGCTCCAGGCTCTGAGCTGTCAGCCCAGAGCCCGATGCAGGGCTCGAACTCACAGACCGCGAGATCATGACCTGAGCCGAAGTCGGACGCCCAACCGACTGAGCCACCCAGGCGCCCCGTCACACAGAGATTTTAAATTCAAATGTACTTTTGATTTAAATATGGATAGATGAACAGATATAACATCAAATTTTTAAGTGTCAAAAGGAATTTTTCAAACAAACTAAAATGTAAATATATTTTTGATATTTATGAAGATAAGTACAATCCAGTCAGTAACTTTTTGATTTTCCAAACTGTGGGATATTCTCACTAAACATTGCACTTACCATGAAGAGCTCCTCTGGGGGCTTATTTCCATCGAGCTCAATGAGATACTGGGAATTGTGTTCAGCCATTACTTCCTGCGAAAAATAGAAAAGATCCCTTATAATCCAGATCCTTGGCAAAACTGAATACAAGATCAGAATCTTAGTATACTATGAATAAATCTTTAAAGCTAAATTGTTTGCTTTATGCATGATATAATGTGTATTATTTTAAGTGCTCTTTTGCAAAAGCCTAAACCAATCTTCTTACCATGAATTTTATTTTTTCTGTTTTTTTTTTCCAGTTTTTCTTTCCACCAAAGTTTTAGAGTCCTTCCAAATAGAAAATGTTTGGGGGCGTCTATCTCTCTGCATATATACATAAAATAATTTCTGCCAAACTGATAATTGTAAATGACATTGGTTTGTTCTACTTTTTATTCCCCTGGCTATGGGTGAGGTCAGTATTCAGATATCCATCTCTGAACACTGTCTAACCATGACATCTGGGCATTTTTCTATTAGATTGTTCTCTTCTCCAACATTCATGGGAAGTCTTTAACCCATATCGATTACAAATATTTTACCTTTATTAAAAAAAATTTTTTTAAATGTTTATTTATTATTGAGAGACAGAGGGAGACACAGCACGAACATGGGAGGGGCAGAGAGAGAGGGAGGCACAGAATCCGAAGCAGGCTCCAGGCTCTGAGCTGTTAGCACAAAGCCCGACGCAGGGCTTGAACTCACTGCGAGATCATGACCTGAGTCAAAGTAGGATGCTCAACCGACTGAGCCACCGAGGCGCCCCTCAAATATTTTACCTTTAAAGGCAAAAAAGATTTATCTCTTAACTTTGCTTATGGAATCTTCTATAAAATAAAATATTTTTATAATAAAATATATCTGTTTTCATTGCTTCTGGATCTCTTGCTTAGATTTTCTCTATCTCAAGATTATATTAATGTTCTCAATTTTCTTCCATTATTTTTTGTTTTTAATATTAAAATGTAAAATCTGCCAGATTTTATGTTTGTACATTGGCAATGATGAACTCTATTTGAGCCCTGCATTTCCAGGAAGTAGGGATGATTGAGAGGTAGGACCCATCTCTATCCTTTCTCAAGGACTCAGATAAGATGTCTTCATCCTTCTCCATCATTTCCTAAGACTCGAGGATATCCCCTTTGCTTACCTGCCTCCATCCATAAAACCCCAGGTCTCCCTTTCTTTTCCTTGATGAGAAGGTTCTCATTAATGAATGTTCTCCTTATTGCAATAATCTGAACAAATCATCTCCTTAATTGTGCAGGCATTTTGTTTTTCACAATATTATGTGAGGTTGGGTTCTAAGCCCTTCTTTTTCTTTTAGACAGCACATTATGCCAATATTATTTATTTAAACACAAATAGCCATGTTCTGAACAAGGAAGTACATAATGCTTTTCTGGATTTCAGATTCTTTTCTTAAGCAGGATTATTAAGAGTGGACTTACTAAGCCAAAGTATAAGACTAAAGATACATGCACCACATCAGACCAGGAGTCAGGTTGGGATTCAAAGACAGGCAAGAATGAGGCCTTGGCCTTGGTGAAGCAAGATATAAACCAGAAAATGATCCTCCCACTTGCTTTCCTCATGTCTTTTGGAGGAGCACTGAATTTTGGTAATCTTGGCCTCCAAAGTGAATTGACACCTGAGCCAGGTCAGGGGAGACTAGAATTGCAGGCTCCTACCTTTTATGGCTTTTCCCACCTTCCTCTACACACACCAGGACACCGAAATTACCATAAAGGGCAATTATTTTACTATTCAGCAAGTGTCATGTCGGCTTAAAGTCTAGTTTTGGCTTCCAGGATGGAAGACCTGGTCCTTATCCTTAAAAAGACTATCTCATGCCCATGAATGTAGTTTTCTAATTTTCTGAATCTGATTTTAATTATGCTTTATTTCACACCCAATGCCAGCCACTTAAGGAGTTTGCAGGATATTTCTGTTGAAGGAAGAAAGAACATGATAGACATGCAAATTACTCTTAAGAAGCAAAATTTAAAGGCCAGGGATAGAAAAGGAGGTAGGGAGGAATAAGTCATACATAAGAAAACAATTAAATTTGGCTCCTCTTTTGGGGTGGACAATGAAAATGAAAACGATCCACTCATTTGCCTTTAAACACATATAAACTTCATAAAAAAGCATGAAATAGATTCTTTTAGTTTCTCTATCAGATGGGAAGAGGCAATGTGAGTCCTGTTTTTTTATTTGTCTTTGTACCCTGTTGCTCAGCATGGTGTGTGGCCAAATACCCAAATTTGATAAATGTTTGTTGAATATCCCCAACACAAATTTGGCAGAGTCTATCCTGGACTTTAGACCATAATCAAATATGCTTTTCACAAATTGTAACTTTAGTAATCGTATTTTTAAAATGCTAATTATTTTAATTAAAACTGTCTTATTCTAATATGTAATGGCCTTAATCATGTTTATATGTAATCAGCTTTGAATGAGATAACCATAGAAACCAATCTGGGGATAATTTTTTAGATTGCAATTTAAATAAACGAACAGTTCCTTTTAAAATGTACAGCTGTTTTGATAAATCCATAAATTATAGATTGAAAATGTCTTTACAAAATAGTCTTTTAACATGGGTTTTCCAACTTCTGACCATAAATAAATTCCTGTAGTGACTTTTGAAAAATGCGGTTCATACATCACTTTTCAACAATACTGCTGCTTATTAAGAGTAAAATAATATTGTTTTGTGAAACAGCCTTTGGAAGGCAAGCTTAATTCTAATAGCATTCTATCAAACTAAGGGGTGGAGAATCAGATAGATAATACAGGGGGATGAAAAAATGTGAAAGCTATTTCATCAGTGATAGAACACAAATATCAATATTCCCATTTTCATCAATATATCTTGTTCTTACTTCTAAAGAATGAAGAATTAGTTCCTTGTAAAGTTTAACAACGTTCTCAATATTTTCTAAATAATCCTCAGGTCTCTGGACTACGTGTTGAAGAATTTCAGCCACCATCTGCATTTCTGCAATAAATGCCTAAATGAAAAAGATGAGATTTTTAACATCTTTATGTCAATGATTACTTAATCCACAAGCCGTGTCATCCCTCCCTCCTTACACTTACAAGCCATTTTGGGGTGAGAAAAGCAGGTAGAAGGGAGACTGAGGATTTTTATTTAAGAGACACTAAATACCATAAGGGGTCTTTATCAGATGGAATAAAACTTTAAATTAACTTGGATACTTATTTATTTATTTATTTGCTCCTCAAGAAGTAGGGAAGAGTAAGGGAAGAATATCTGATTTTTAGAGAGAGAATGAAGAAATCAGATTTACTGAGCTTCCAGTTCATTCGTTCATTCATTCATTCATTCATTCATTCATCAATTCACTCATTGATGAGTGCCAGGCACTGTTCTAGGAGCTTGAGGTGTCTAAAACAGTGAACAAAATCAACTAAGAGCCTGGGGCTCACAGAGCGCACATTCCAGCTGGGGAAGACAGAGCACAAACAAGTAGACAAGTAAATACAAAATGTGTTGGGTGGTGATAAGGACTAGGGGAAAAAATGCAGGGTGGAGGAGATGGAGAGTGATGGGTAAAAGTGCTATTTTATATCAGGTGGTCATGAAAGGGTTCTCTGAAGAAGTGACATTTGAAGGCAGAGGGACTCATACACATAAAAGTTCTCAGCCCAAGGCCTCATTGGTGTTAAAGATCATATTTATCCTATTATTTATAATTCATTATCTAATTTCTAATTCTAGTTTTTACAAATGCACATACATCTACATTTTATACTATTTGAATCATCTATCAAAGAAGCCACTTTATAACCTTTTTGTAATGTCTTACATACTGTTTTAGTGGTCGAATAATAGATTAATATCCCTAAATACATGATTATTTGATCATTATTCTATAGTTGAACAAGAATACTTCAAATTTTTCATAAGTATAAATAACATTTCACCAAATAGTTTTGTAGATAAATCTTTATATTGTTAATATTCTTCCTTAGAAGAGTTCCTAAAAGTAGAATTACTAGACCAAAGATTACACATTTCAAAATTGCTTAATATACACTGACTTTTTCAAAAGATGCTATTTTTCTTTTCTCTCTAGCAGAGGGCTAGATAGGCACACTTGTGTGTCCAGTTAGGACACAGCTTATTAGGCACCTACTGTATGCCAAGCACTGTTACAAGCACAGGGGATATAGTCCTTGCTGCATAGAGCTTACAATGGGCGGACACATAATAAGCAAGTAAACAAAGAACATAATTTCAGAAAGCGGTAAGATAAAGCAGAGGAAAGAGGTAGGCCTGTGCTGTCCAGCACAATAGCTGCTAGCCATACAGACCTACTGAGCACGTGAAATTTGCCAAATGTGAATTGGAATGCACCAAATTTCAAAAACTTAGCATGAAAAAGAGATGTCTCTCTCAGAATCTTTATGTTGATTATATGTTTACATAATATTTTGGATATATTAGATTAAATAAAATATATCATTGAAATTATTTTCACTTGTATCTTTTTGCTTTTTAAAAAAAGTGTCTACTAGCACATTTAAAGTTACATATGGTGGGACTACATTTCCATCACAGTGCTGGGATATATAGTCTCTTCCTGGATGGTCTCTGAGGATGTTATCCATGGAGTGGGACCTGGGCAAGGAGAAGGTGCAGGCACACAAAGGTCTGGAAGAGAGTGTGGTAGGCAGAGGGAAGAGGAAACAGTAAGTGCAAAGGCTGGAGGTGAGGTTGAGTCCAGAATAGGTGACGACTACTGGAAGGCCAATGGAATAGGTGGAATACAATGAACATGCAGGGAGAGACAGCCAGGGAGGGATAAGATCAGGGGGGCCAGGTCCATGGCCTTGTAAGCCATGCGAGGGTGTTTGAATTTTCCTCTACAGGTAATAGAAAGTCACTAAGGGTCATATTTTTATTTTTTTATTTTTATTTTTTTTATGTTTATTTATTTTTGAGAGAGAAAGTGAGTGTGAGAGGAAGAGGAGCAGAGAGAGAGGGAGACACAGAATCCAAAGCAGGCTCCAGGCTCTGAGCTGTCAGCACAGAGCCCGACATGGGGCTCCAACTCACAAACTGCGAGATCATGACCTGAGCCGAAGTTGGATGCCCAACTGACTGAGCCACCCAGGCTCCCCAAGGGTCATATTTTTAAAACAAGGCTCTGGCTTTTGCAAAGAATGGAATGGATGCAGAGGGTCAAGGAAAGTGGAAGTCAAGAGAACATATACAAAGCTATTACAGCAGTTAAGGCACATTGTTTATATTTATGTATATATAAGGGTGAACGCTTTCATGCCGATATTGGCCATCAACCCAAGGGGGGCAGCATGTTTGCATGTTTGACTTCTGAACATGGCTGTGCTTCTAGGCAGACATCGTAGCAAACCAGGCCCCTGGGACTGAGTTCAGTCTGAGGACGTTAATTTGATTATATCCCACAGCATTGGCCTACATTGTGTTTTTGAAATTTTGGATTAGTTGCCAACTACTTTTATTTTTAAATGCTGATTTTGGATTCTCTGGAGAAACCACACCACCTGGTAAGACTAGGTTGGCATTCCCACATGACAATAGTTGTCTGGGCTGGAGCTGAGAGGCAACTGTCCTCTGAAGAAGGGCATGAACCCTCTAGCTGTCCAGTGGAACTTCCTGCAATAATGGAAATGTTGTGTATCTGTGCTGTCCAATTTGGAAGACACAGCCATATTTGGTCATGAGCACTTGAAATATGGCTAGTGTTACTAAGAGAAACTAAATTTTAAATTTTATATCATTTTAATTAATTTGAAGTTAAATAGCCACATAGGACTAGTGGCTACTATATTGAATAGTGTAGTCCTAGCCTACCCCAGTCCTCACTCTTCCTGATTATGTTCCTGACCGACATCACAAACTGACATAACTGCGACCCCTGTAACTAAGTGGGCAGTGACTCCTCTATCTCACTATCTTTGATTTAAGATGGTGTGCTTTATTCATACTAAAATGACCCACTTTCATTCCCATTTGCTATGAGGTTTTCTTTTTTAAAAAGAAAATATAGAATAGATGTTGGCTATGGCCTAGTGCCTTATTTGCACAGGGAAGATTCTTTTAGCATTTGAAATGGTTTTAAAAATTGAGATATGGGGCGCCTGGGTGGCTCAGTCGGTTGAGCGTCTGACTTCGGCTCAGGTCATGATCTTGCAGTTTGTAAGTTCAAGCCCCACATCGGGCCCTGTGCTGACGGCTCAGAGCCTGTTTAAGAGTCTGTGTCTCCCTCTCTCTCTCTCTACCCCTCCCCCACTTGTGCTGTTTTTCTCTCTCAAAAATAAAGATTAAATTAAAAAAATAAAAATTGAGGTATAATTGACATAGAATATTAGATTCACTTCAGGTGTACAGCATAATGATTCAATATTTGTATATATTGAGAAGTGACCACCGTAATAAGTCTGGTTAACATTCATCACCATACACAGTTACAACTTTTTTTCTTGTGATGAGAACATTTAAGATCTACGACTAAAGAACAATGTCAAAGATTCATTTAACCCATTAGTGAGGAAACCAACAGGATGACAAAGCTGAGGTATATCTTATCACTGAAATAAGACTAAAAAGTTGCATATGAATGTACGCTTAATATCTTATGAGTCAATAAAATTGTAACCTTTGAGGGTTATCTTTTTTACTGGACAAATGATTTGCAATGTATCCATCTATAAATTAATATCTGACTTTGCCCTAGTAGAAATACTATTTATTTATAATACATTTATAATAAATTGTAAATTGTAGCAATTACAAAAATATATGAAGGTCTTTAAAAATTATAAATTAATTTATAACAGAGATCACAGGTATATTTCAGTACAGCAGGGATTGGCAAACTGTGGCCCACATGCCCCGGTGGACCAAATCTAGCCCATCACCTGTTAACAGATTTCTTCACATCAAATTTTCCCTCATTAAGTCATGGTAGAAAATTCTTTTGATGCTCCATTGCATTATGCTGACTTTAGGATTATTATAATAACATGTATACGTGAATTGGGCTTTCGATTTTTGTTTCACGTGCTCTTTGCTAGACATTGGAATTGGGATTATGTTAATTTCATAAACTGGATTATGCCTGGGCTACTTGCTCCCCATATTACCCTTTGTTTTTTATTGCTCTGACTTCTCATTCTAGCTTGCATAGTGCTTGACACACAGTAGGTGACAAATCAGTCTCTGTTGCTATGACATGAAGCTGATTAGCTGTCAGGATGTGGAAGGACTTCCATATTCACAAGAAGGTTGAACTTGATGGCCTCTAGATTATGATCTAATAGTTCTTAAAAACATGAAATATTTTTTCTATTTCCTCCAGACTTAACGAAAATTTAAAGGAAATGTAATTTTCTCTATCCTTGCTATGTTTAATTTAATTGTAGCAAATTTAAAAGTGTAGTATATGGTATTAGGATGTTACCTCTTCTTCTTCTTGCTCTTCTTCCTCTTCCCCTTCCTCTTCTCCTTTTCCTTCTTTTTGGGCTTCTTTCCTCTTTTTCCTGCGATTTTCAATGACTTCAGGATCCCACTGATCTCTTCTGTATATGTACCCTGTACTACTGTGCTGCCTTTGCCCAGAAATTCTTTGGCATAAATCGTAGTCGGGGCACTAAGGAACAACATTAGTAATTTTAACAAGCATCTTCAGTGATTCTGATGCTGACAGTGCATGCACCACACTTTAAGAAACAAAGGAAGCAGGAAACTTTAGAACTTTCCTTGTTCATTTTCTGATTTCTTTAGGCCATCTCTATGTGGAGATGGGATGGGTATTTATTGAGGCCAGACTTCTACAGGCTTCCTAATTTTTCACAAGAAAGGTTTCAATCCACTCGGATCATCTTTATAATGAGTATTTGCCCTTCCTTACTCAGCAACCCAGAATAACCATACTGTGGGCCCTTGACAGAGACGACTGCCTTCAGCTGTCTCCTATTTTCACTTGCAGAAACTGACTACCATAAGGGTGAGTCTGAAGGACATGCCTCAGAGCAGTGGTCTTCAAACTTCAGTGGGCATCAGACTCATGTAGAGGGCTTTGCAACACAGATAGCTGAATGCCACTCCCTAGAGTTCTTGACTCATTTTGGGGTGGTTTCTGAGAATATGTTTTTCTAACAAACTTCTGAGGGCTGCTGGTGCAGTTGGCTCTGGGACCGTACTCTGCGAACCACTGCTATAGTAGATCACTGGCCCTGTGCCATCTTTTTTTTTTTTTTTTTTTTTTTTTTTTTTTTTTGTAATACAGACCCCTTGAGAATACGAGGAAAGCCATTGGCTTTTGCTTCAGAAAGCAGACATACACAATAAAGTAATTTCATATTATTATAATTTATGTATTATTAATATAATTAAATGTTATTATTTCATAGATGCTTAAGGATTCATAGATCCCAGGCTAAGAATTTCTGCTCTAGAAATTCCAAGATTTATGCCCAAATAAGGACAAACCATCAGAGAAATGTGTGTTGTACTGAGCTCTGTCTCACATTAGGCCTCTGATGACATTCTAGTCATAGAAAACTTCCTTGGATACCCACTATCACACTTAAAACATAAAAACGGTGAAGGGCTTCATTCTCTATGTTAACGATCTTTTATATTGAGACCCATGTAAGATATTTCTCTTATTTAAAAGTTTAATTCTAGGGGCGCCTGGGTGGCGCAGTCGGTTGGGCGTCCGACTTCAGCCAGGTCACGATCTCGCGGTCCGTGAGTTCGAGCCCCGCGTCAGGCTCTGGGCTGATGGCTCAGAGCCTGGAGCCTGTTTCCGATTCTGTGTCTCCCTCTCTCTCTGCCCCTCCCCCGTTCATGCTCTGTCTCTCTCTGTCCCAAAAATAAATAAACGTTGGAAAAAAAAAAAAATAAATAAAAGTTTAATTCTAATTCCTCTCATTTTGTTTCTTCCTGAGGAGTGGCTTGTCTTTTCATGGACAATGTGAATTTTATATAAATGGTCACATTTCCTCTTTCTACTTTGGCTTATCAAACTCAGAAGTTATGCCCCAAATTTAGTAAACATTTGGAGGGTAATGGTCTGTATATCTGTACACTCTTGTTCTATACAATCTATGTTTTCCAGGGCTTAGACTTTATATTTGGTTTTAGTTGTCTGAGATCTTTTCTTCTCTCCCTTATACCACACGTTCACATGTGTGACACTCTCAAGGTCCATGCAGGAATTCTGATCAGTCTCCAACCACAACCTGTGGCAGGCTGCAGATTATACCACGCTCAGCACTGCAATACCTCTTCTCTCTCACAGCTAACCCTGTCCCAACATCTGAGCTGAGAATCATCCCATTTATCTTGAGCTGTCAAAACTTTTGGGGAACCAGGCAGTTGTGAATATAAAAGCTTATAATCAATTTTCATATAAAAAACAGACTTGGCCTCACTGAAGTCTTATTCTCATATAAAGCAGTTACTATTTTTGTAAAGAAGAAATCGAGTCTCTTAAATGTGATTTGCCAAATTCTGTTGATAGAGAGATTGGGGATAGGACTCAGCCTGACTCTTAATCAAGGCTGAATGATGTTCTTTAACATTCATATGACCAAATCATTTGCTCCTTCTTTCATTGTATTTAATTGTCAAACTTATCAGGTGTCTACTAGGTACACTATCTTGTGCTAGTTGATGTTTATATGAGTAAGACATAGTTCTTGCCTTCGAGTAAGGCAGAGTCCGGAAGAAAACAGACAATTACAATAAGATATTATGATAAGGAGAGCAACGTGAATGGTCATCAGAGAAGTATTTAACTTTCCTGTAGTAAAGTATAGGGGACATGGAGGAAGAGAGAGGGAGAGGAGGTGGAGGGAGAGAGAGAAGGAGAAAGTGAGAGTGAAAGAGAAAGAATGAGAGAGAATGAGTTAGTTAATATGTGTGTTGGTGTGGAAGAGGTGGTCAGCAGGGAAACAGATGATGCCTGAACTGACTTTCAAAAGATGACTATGATTAAGCCTATTGAAAAGGCCGGGAGGGGGCGCCTGGGTGGCGCAGTCGGTTAAGCGTCCGACTTCAGCCAGGTCACGATCTCGCGGTCCGTGAGTTCGAGCCCCGCGTCAGGCTCTGGGCTGATGGCTCAGAGCCTGGAGCCTGTTTCCGATTCTGTGTCTCCCTCTCTCTCTGCCCCTCCCCCGTTCATGCTCTGTCTCTCCCTGTCCCAAAAATAAAAATAACATTGAAAAAAAAAAAAAAAAAAAAAAAAAAAAAAGAAAAGGCCGGGAGGGATTTCCTTTGGATGGAGCTGCAGGTGTAAAAGCACAGAGGCATGAGAAGGAATAACTCAGTCCCTATGATTGATACATAAATTGCTATTTCCTTGGGGCGCCTGGGTGGCTGGGTCGAGTAAGCATCTAACTTTGGCTCAGGTCACGATCTCATGGTTCTGAGATCTAGCCTCACATTGGGCTCTGCACTGACAGCTCAGAGCCTGCTTAGTTCTCCTGCCCCCCTTTATCTATGCCCTTCCCTTGCCCGTTCTCTCTCTCTTTCCTCAAAAACAAACATTTAAGACATTGGACACTTAAACAGTTATTTCCTTAACTACTTAGTATTTTTGAAGATACTCCTTGAATTCCACCACTGTTAAAAAAAATGGTTCGCTATGGTAGAAAAATAACTTACCTTAATATTGATTATTATATCAGGTTTCAAATTTAAATTTTTAATTAATTCTATTTGCTGCAAAGTAGTTATGGCATCCTGTGAAAGTGATGGTAGTTCAGTGACAATATAACCTGTTGAATAAAACATAATTTTTAAAGTTTTATAATGCCACCAATAGATGAGAGCATGGATTTGTTATTACTTTGTAAATCTCATTTGCTTATTGATGAATATTAATGTAGATCTTAAAATCATCTGTCAAATATTTTTAATTAATAGTTAAGTTTATTGCCACATGAAGTATAACTATGAATAATGTTTTTCTGATAATAAATAAAATCACTGAGCTGGGAGGAAACATCTTAAAAAATTCCAAATCAATTTCTTTTAAGCACATGAGGGGCCTAGGGAAGGAAATTCCATGCTAGTAATTCTTTGAACAGTTAGGAAAGCCCTGTGATGATGGTAAGGGTATACTATAGGGGTTGTGTAGTATATTCTTTTCTTTCTAAAGCTAGCATCTTATAATAGAATATATATGTACATAATATTTATATAAGTTATGGGGACCAATAAAACACCAATGAACCTCCTCATACAGTTTAAAAACCAGAACATTATCAACATGATTTTTGCTTAGCACACTTACTGGCTTGCATTCCTACCCAGAAACCTAAATCTTCTCATGGAAATTCACCCTGTTTGCCATCATCACATTAATTTCCTTAATATATTTCTTTAATCATGTCACTCTCATGCTTGAGAAAATTTTCTCTTGTTAATAAAGTCTCAATTTTCTCAGAATTAAAGGACTTAGGTCAATTTTTCTCCTGTTTTAATAGGACTTTTTTTTTTCTTGAAAGAACGGACAAAAATTATGGTTATTCAGCTTTGGATATTTGGCAGACATTTTATAAAAAGTGAATGGAGTGAGCTGGTCATTTCAACTGACAGTATTTGTTGCCAATTATAAAATTCAAGCAAAAACTCAAATTTTAGAAAACATGTATCTATTGCCATAAGCTTTACAACTTCCTGATTTTTAAAACTTTTCTTGATGATGGGGGTGCCTGGGTGGCTCAGCTGGTTAAGCACCTGACTTTGGCCAGGTCATGATCTCATGGTTCATGGGTTCAGGCCCTGCATCAGGCTCTGTGCTGACAGCTCAGAGACTAGAGCCTGCTTCAGATTTTGTGTCTCCCTCTCTCTCTGCCCCTCGCCTGCTCATGCTCTGTCTCTCTCTCTCAAAAAATGAATAAACATCAAAAAAATTTTTTCTTAAACTTTTCTTGATGAACTTGGTGGTGAAATTAACAAAAGTGATATTCTGGTATTGTATAATGAAAAGTGTTGACATTTGGAAGATCTGCACAACTCAGTGAACTAATATTTTCCTATTAATTACTGCATAGTACACCTCCAAATCATGCATGCATTCCAAGTTCAAGGTAGACCAATGGATTTTATTTATTTATTTTAAATGGTTATTTATTTTTGATAGAAGGGGAGAGAGAGAACAAGCGGGGGACGGGCAGAGAGGGGAACAGAGGATCTGAAGCAGGCTCTGTGCTGACAGCAGAGAGCCCCATGCAGGGCTCAGGAAGCCTGAGATCATGACCTAAGCCGAACTCAGATGCTTAACTGACTGAGCCACTCAGGTGCCCTTAGACCAACGGATTTTAATGTAACAGAGTCAGAAAATGTCCTTGATATGGTTTCAGATTCTATAATGTAAATAACCTTTAAGAAACTTACCCTTGGTGAGTTTTGATGTAGGATCAATTATTCTAAAGGCTATTAAAATATACTTTCCTTTTCTAACTACGTATCTGTGAAACTGGGTTTTCCTCATACATTTCAACAGAAACAATGAATTGCAACAGATTAAGCAGAAGGAGACAGGAGAACCCAGCCAGCTAGGTCTTCTCTTAAGTCAGACATTAAAGAGATTTGCAAAAATATAAAACAATACCACTCTTCTAAGTTTTTTGTTTTAAAGATTACAATTATTTTTTTATTAAATTTTTTTTTTCAACGTTTATTTATTTTTGGGACAGAGAGAGACAGAGCATGAACGGGGGAGGGTCAGAGAGAGAGGGAGACACAGAATCGGAAACAGGCTCCAGGCTCTGAGCCATCAGCCCAAAGCCTGACGCGGGGCTCGAACTCACGGACCGCGAGATCGTGACCTGGCTGAAGTCGGACGCTTAACCGACTGCGCCACCCAGGCGCCCCTACAATTATTTTTTTTAATAAAATATGCTATTAATGCAAACATGTGATGTTTTGTTATGATTTTTAAACAAATATTTTAAACATTTCTTAGTTTTAATTTCTAATATGATAAATATTGATGTATATAACCCACGTAAGCAAAAGCTCTTTTGGGGCCTCAACAAATCTTATAAGTATGAAGGAGTCTTAAAACTAAAAAGTTTGAGAACTGCTATGCAATGTCTAGAATAGTATGACTAAAGAAACAGTTATTAAGCATCTGTTGATAGATGAATGAATGTGTCTAATAAGCCAACCTCAAAATCCTCACTTGAGAACATGCTTATTACATACTCTTTTTTTCAATTTTACAAAAGCAGACCGAAAACTATCATGGCAATCCAAAATCTCATGAAATTCTTAGGCATTTTTCCTAAGATTTTTCAAACACTATGTATTGGATGCTACCCAGAGAAGCAGTCCTAAGTAGTTTGACTTCAAAAGGCAGAAAGGGAGATTTATTATCTTTAGTTCTGGATATATGAGCTATAATTATGATTCCCTCCCGTCTTGCTACAATCTTTAATTTCCAACTTGGCTTATTTGTTTGCTTTTGCTGTTGTCTTTAAAAGACTGAAATATGGTCGTATTCTAAGGCATCCATTCTTTTTATTATTTTTTTATTCTCAAGTTAGTTAACATACAGTGTAGTCTTGGTTTCAGGAGTAGAACCCAGTGATTTATCCCTTACATATAACACCCAGTGCTCATCCTAATATGTGCCCTCCTTAATGCCCATTACCCATTTACCCCATTCCCATCAACCCTCAGTTTGTTCTCTGTATTTAAGACTCTCTTACGGTTTGCTAAGGCATCCATTCTATTCAAGGTTCCTTAAATGCACCCAACACACTCCTGCAAAAATTTAGCCACTGCATGCATTGGCACTGTCTCAGGAACTGGGCCAGACCTTTCTCCACTTGCCTCCTCCTGCTGTTCTTGCTTTTTGTTCCCCTGGCTTCCCCCTTCCCTAGTTTGGTTTGGATTCTATTGCTAAATCATCCTCCACTTGATTAACCACCTTATTGGAACTTGTCAAGGTATTGAGATGTGATGGCTAGCATTAAGCCATCATATTTTGAGGGTGAGTACTGTGGTGAAGGGGACTGCATGGCCTAGCCCTAGGTTGAATTCAACTCTTGTCCAGATCATCTCTCCTGATCAGATACTGCCAGAGAACATCCGTCTCCAGAGTTCATGTCTTCCTCTTCTAAACAACAGGGGGATTACACAATACTTCTGTCCCTCTCATTCCCTCTGCTGGCAATGCTGCCCAACATCTGTGTATTACAAATGAATGATGGAAGCTTGACACTCTGTGTGCTGTGCTCATCAGCACCCTGTGTATTACTACAATCGCTGCCAGTGCTTGAACAGCTTATCAGGCATTCCAAGTGCAACTGTTTGTAGGTATCCTAAACCTCAGGTGTACATGTATATTGGAATGAGTTTAAAACTTGGTCTCTTTTGGGGCGCCTGGGTGGCTCAATCAGTTAAGCATCCGACTTCGGCTCAGGTCATAATCTCATGGTTCACAAGTTCAAGCCCCATGTCGGGCTCTGTGCTGACAGCTCAGAGCCTGCAGCCTGCTTTAGAGTCTGTCTCTCTCTCTCTCTGCCCCTTCCCTGCTCACGGTCTGTCTTTCTCTCTCGAAAATAAAATTTAAAAAACTTGCTCTTTCCTAGTGGAAGCAGCAGAAAAATGGGTTGTTTCCATGGTGTTTGGTTCTCACCTGATAGGCCAGTATTTGGGCTGCCTGAATTTTCTGAGTGATGCGTTTTAGGGCTTTACCCATTGAGAGGTAGCCAGCATCATAATATCCAGACCCTAGGAATGTATCTATGGAAGAGATGTGGGAGAGTGGAAGAGCTTAGTTCTCTAGACCCAATTCTGGAAAGACATCATGAGGATACTTCCTGATAGATGGACCAGAGCTGCCAACCCCACTGCCAACCTCTCTAACCCCAGAGACATGTGTGGAGATGGAAGCATAGATAAGGACTTCCCCTCCCTGTCCCGTATCTCCTTGACACCGTTACCAAACCCTTGCCCTCAATGCTGAAGATGGAGGAATGAAAGACCTCACACCACTCCTTGCTGCAAGGCTCTGATGTACTATCATGGGCAGAATAGACACTCTGCAGTCTAGTGCTCAGCCTGCATCACCCCCACCAAGGAAAAGCTGAAATACTGTCCATATGGCTGCCCAGGGGAAACTGACTGGCCCATGCCATCACTTTGTCCTCACTTCCTGGTTCAGTAGAATGAATTCCCACTTTTGCAAAACTGAAGATGGCATGCTACTGCTTTCAGACTGAAGTGACGTGAGATTCAGAGACATCAGGTAACTTATGTCCATCCAGCCCTAATATATACCTGATGTCATGCCAGCCTGATATGAGCGGATACACTGGTGACCAATGACTTCCAAGACAATCTACTATGTGATACACCTGGGGCAGGGAATGCCCAGATTAGGGCTGTCTATCACTTACTGGAGAAAACGAGTTTTCTGGAGTCCAGAAACAGGGAGCAGAAAGGGACTTCTTAGGATGCCCAGGCATTAGCTCTACCTTTTTCTCTTGGGTGAGGATGTAGTTCAAGGAAACTGATTTTGGCCCAAGGCCAACACAGCATGACAGGTTGTGAATGAAAGGATTATAATTATAGATTGTGTAAGTTCCTTCTAAATAGCTATAAAAGTTCCAAGTATAAAAGGCTCTGGTATAGAAAAAAAAAATAAGATTCAATCTGGCAATACTCTACTGGGCAGTGTTCCCAGCAGTGCACATCTATCTGTCTTTAGGGATTTTAGAGTCATCAATTACCCAGCCTCACCTAGACCCTGGCCAGAGTTAATATCCCTGTTTTGAAAGCTCTTCACTTCCAATTTTGTTTCAATTTTTGTTTCTACCAGGCTGTTGGGTAGGACTAGACATCAGAAAGAATTCTTGCTGAGCAGAGACTTTTAAACTGCATTTAGTAGAGTGCCAGGTTGCACAGAAATTCCTCTGGGGATGTTACACAATAGGTGAGGGGAGTCTGGGCAGAAGAGGCTCTAGGTCCTGCCCCCACTACAGCCTTTAAATGAGCCCAGATGTGCATGCCTAGAGCACAGGCATGCAATTACATGCTGAGAGTGTGGCCCTCAGATTCAAGAAATCACTTATACTGCCAGCTCCCAGGACACACACCAGTGCACAGCACGTCTAGGGGAAAGAGGAATACATTAAATGCTACGAGGGGATGCAGTCAGCAAAATCCAGAATGTAGGAAACTCTTATTAAACACATATAACTAGCTTTTTCAACAAAGAAAACACAAGGTGATAGAAAGAGGTAGAGGGCATTTATACATTAAAAGGGATTTGAGACATACCAATCAATTGCAATGCGTGAAACTTGGTTGGATCCTGCTTCCAAAAACAAAACACAACAAAACAAAAATAAAAAAAAACTCAAAAATCAGCTAGAAAAAAAAAATATACAAGGCAAATAATGACATCACAGAGTGATTAGTAGGTGATTTACTATTAATTTTTTAGGTATGGTAATGTGAAACTAGGTTTAAAATAGTCCTTAACTTTCTGAGATATATACTAAAGCATTTAAAGATGAACTGATATGATATGAATTAGTTTCAAAATAAAGTAGGTTTGGGACAAATGTGGGTAGGAGTTTACATAAAACAAGATTAGATGAGAGTTATCATTGAAGCCGGGTGATGGATACATGGGGGGAGTTTTATATAATCTCTTTACTTTTGTTTGACATTTTCCATAAGAGGTTAAAAAGGTTATGACCATCATAAATGGCATAGCTGAGTAGGTTTATTTTTTCATTTTTTTCTTTCTCTTTTTGCCAATATTTATAAATTTATACCATCTTTGTGTTGACCATGTAAAATACTCTAAATTTTTCAAGAAGTAAGGTGTGATGAAGTGTAAACAAAAAAGATATTTGCCTACCTATCTGTATGATTGTGTCAGTTTCAATCATCATGATTTTTAAGGTCACTTATTGACCTGTGTTGGAATTCTGTCATTGTCCTTTTTACCTTTTTACTCATTTAACCTCCCACATTCTTGGTGTTTTTCCCAAGTTCATCTTCTTTATCACTGAACAACAGAAAGACTGATAGAGTGTAAGTATATATACAATATATATACTAAAGAGATGATATATATATATATATGAATGGATGGATAGATATTGTTTATTCCATACATCATCTATATGTAGAGAAATCTTTCTACCTATAGATACGAATGATACATAGTTTGCAGTGACAAGTTGCTTTTGCTACTTCCATTATTGATTTGCTTCTGTAATCATGGTTTTTACTTTACTGCATTTTATTTTTATCCCTCTATTTTAATAGTCACCATGTCTTCTCTATAATGCAGCTTTCTAAGTTTTTCTTCTTTCATTCAATAAATCTATTTCAGGTAGCTGATTTTCTTCCCAGCAAATCTTTATTCTTCTTCCTTCTTTTGCAAATGTCACAGGATTTGTTCTTTTCTGTTTAGTCATTCTGAGCTTCGGTAGTCTTTGTCTTGAGAAATTAGGCCCCAAACCCCTGCTGAGCATCTGTTTGAATGTAGAGAGACTTCTTGGGTCTAGAGTGAGAGGGTAGACTGGATAAACAGACTGAAGCCTGCCAATATCTGGAGCCAGAGGCTAAGCTGGTGCCATTCTAGTTCCCACTCCTGCCTTGTAAGTATGGGTTAATGCAGAGAAGCCTAGCCATAGACAGGACTTAGTAATAAAACTGAATGAATGGGAAAGCAGTCAGCAGAGGCTGTCACCACCGTGAGAAGTACCACAGCAGAGTGTCGATGCTTCTGCTGGAAAACATGATGCTCACAGAAGATTGAACAATTAAAACTTATCTATTTATTTACACTACAAGGGTAGAATCTGAAGAATATTGAATAATTGAATTGAATCTGAATAATGAAGTAAACAAGCAAAGAAAAGCATCTAAACCGCTTAACTGAACTCAGGCTCTGGGATTCCTGCAAGAGGGCAAAGGAAAGAGCAACTCCAGAACTTATGTGTGCCTCAGCTAAAGCATGAATTTTAAGGCTGCTTTGATAGCCACCAATTTATAAAAATAAACATACCAAAGTGAGAAACTTCCAGGGAGTTGAGCTTCTCCAACATTAGCTTCATGACGAGTTCATCTGGAATGCTTTGACCACCGAGCAGCATTGATTGCAACTAAGAACATGCACAGATAGCACACATTAGAATATAATATATTTGTGATACAGAGCTTTTTTAAACAAAAATTCTAATAACTTTGAGACTTAGATTTACCATAACTCCTGATTCAGTTTCACTGGCAATCTGTTCTTCCAAAATTGGTAAAGCTAAAATATGAATTCAAAATGTTAGCACAAACGGATATTAGAATTGCCAAATTAAGAAACACGTTTGTGTTTATTTTTAAGTTTATTTATTTTGAGAGAGAACATGTACATGAGTGGGGGAGAAGAAGAGAGAGAGAGAGAAAGAGAGAGAGAATCCCAAGGAGGCTCCCTGCTGTCCACGCCAGCCTCCAACTCACAAACTCTGAGATCATGACCCCAACTGAAACCAAGAGTTGGACACTTAACCAACTGAGCCACCCAGGCACCCCATATTTGTGTCTTTTATAACTGGTAACAAAGATTAATTTTGTTAATTAAAGATTAGTTAAATATTTGTATATCACTTTAAGAGTTTACAAAACACATTTACATACATTATGTCATTTCAGCCTATCCAAAGCATGAGGCAGCAGAAAGTATTCCACAGAGAACTTGTCTCTGCCCCTGGATAGCTAAAGGATCTTGAGGAAGCTAACTTCTTAAATACTTTGGGCCTTGCATGCTTATGCCCTGTATCATATGCAAGAGAATATGAGGATGAAATAACATTGTGTATATGACAGTGATTTGGAAATTATAAAGTGTTACTCAAAAGAATACACTAGTATTATTAGTCCAGTTCTTTTTATGTCAAACCCTTTATTTTATGTTTTCTTTTTTTCTTTTTAAGTTTTTGTTTAAACTCTGTTTAGTTACCATACAGTGCAATACTGGTTTCAGTAGAATTCAGTGATTCATCATTTACCTACAACACCCAGTGCTCATCGTAATAGTCCAGATAATTTTATAACCACAGAGTTATATCTAGAACCCATTAATTTTGCACTCTGATTATATGAAAGGAAAGAATGCCATCAAGAAATGTAAAAATAGATAAGCACTGATTAGAAAAAGGGGGCCTGAGGTTAGAATTCCAATGATTTGTTTCCTTTTTAAGAGGAAATATTCCATCCCTTGTGGAAGACATCCTGGGACAGAAATGACAGGGGCATGACCTAGGGAAGGACTCAGAAATTATGTTCCCAGCTGCTAGTAATCAATGGATTGTGCTGTACCAGATTGCAATTTCATTAACAGCACATGGAATCCTCATTTCATACCATTCTTGCCAAAAATGATTATAAGAACTTTAAAGATTCCTTGTCAGTTTCATAGGTGAATATGAATCAGTGTTATTTTAATTAGCATTTCTTTGAATAAAAATGGAGTTAAACTCTTTTTTCTTATATTTGTCTATTTTATTTCTACTTTAAAAAAGTTTATTTTGAGAGAGACATGAGTATAGGGGAGGAGCGAAGGGGAAGAGAAGAAATCTAAGCAGGCTCCCACCATGCTGTCAGCATGAAGAAGAAGAAAGCTTTATCCCAATTGTGAGATCATGACCTGAGCTGAAATCAAGGGGACTTAACCACATGCCACCCAGGTGCCTCTATTTCTACTTTTATGAATTGCTATTCATTCTTTTTCTGCTTATTTTCTATTAGGACATATAGAGCTGTATTGATTAAAAGAATCATTTATAAAGATGTCAGTCCTCATTTTATATACTGCAAAAATGCAAACAAAATAAAAAATAAAATTTATAGGAAGCCTGGGTGGGCTTCAGTCTTGAGCGTCCGACTCAGCCAGGTCATCGATCTCGCTGGTCCGTGAGTTAAAGCCCGCCGGCGTCAGGGCTCTGGGCTCAGAGCCTGGAGCCTGTTCCGATTCTGTGTCTCCCTCTCTCTGCCCCTCCCCATTCATGCTCTGTCTCTCTGTCCCAAAAATAAATAAACGTTGAAAAAATAAAAAATAAAAAAAAAAATAAAATTTATCATCAAAAATATTAAGTCTTGAAACATGCTCCCCAAAGGTGTGAGCGTCTTCTCTTCCATCTTCCATGGGAGACTTAAAACACACATGTCCCCAGCAGGTCTAAATGAGAAATTAATTGGAGAATTGAGAGCAGAAGAATGGAGTCAAAGACATTTCATAAACCATCCTAAAGTCTATGAACAAAAACTAGGACTAACAGAAAGGCAAAATATGTCTGATGCTATGAAGATTATGAAGATGATAGAAGATGATATTCACTGGGTTCATAGTGATGTGTGATAAAGCATATGGCAAAATGTTAATAACAGAATCTAGATAGCAATTCTTTACCTTTTATGCATATTTGAAAGTTTATAATAAAATATTGGGGGGGGAGGTAAAATTTACCTTCTACACGAATACATTTCCATGCTTGTGTTATCTGTGGGGCTAGACGTTGTCTTCCCAACTAAAGAAGAAAGATGTTATTTAAAACCCAAAAGAACAGTCATTTGCCAGAGAAACAGATATTCACGTTTAAAAGATTATATTTATGGTTACAATACATGAATATTATCAAGTAATTTTTGTCAACAAAAAAATGAAGAGCAGACTTAGATATTTATAGCATATTTCTATAAGAGTCACATTTGCCATTTTATGAAATGACTTAAATAACATTTTTAAATTAAGAAAAGAAATTATGTTCCCAGCTGCTAGTAATCAATGGATTGTGCTGTACCAGATTGCAATTTCATTAACAGCACATGGAATCCTCATTTCATACCATTCTTGCCAAAAATGATTATAAGAACTTTAAAGATTCCTTGTCAGTTTCATAGGTGAATATGAATCAGTGTTATTTTAATTAGCATTTCTTTGAATAAAAATGGAGTTAAACTCTTTTTTCTTATATTTGTCTATTTTTATTTCTACTTTAAAAAAAGTTTATTTTGAGAGAGAGAGCATGAGTATGGGGAGAGGCAGAGAAAGAGGGAGAGAGAAAATCCTAAGCAGGCTCCATGCTGTCAGCATGAAGCCCAAAGAAGGGCTTTATCCCACGAATTGTGAGATCATGACCTGAGCTGAAATCAAGAGTTGGACGCTTAACCAGCATGCCACCCAGGTGCCCCTATTTCTACTTTTATGAATTGCTATTCATTCTTCTGCTTATTTTTCTATTAGGACATATAGAGCTGTATTGATTAAAAGAATATTTTATATAAAGATGTCAGTCCTCATTTTATATACTGCAAAGAATGCAAAACAAAATAAAAAATAAAATTTATAGGGGCGCCTGGGTGGCGCAGTCGGTTGAGCGTCCGACTTCAGCCAGGTCACGATCTCGCGGTCCGTGAGTTCGAGCCCCGCGTCGGGCTCTGGGCTGATGGCTCAGAGCCTGGAGCCTGTTTCCGATTCTGTGTCTCCCTCTCTCTCTGCCCCTCCCCCATTCATGCTCTGTCTCTCTCTGTCCCAAAAATAAATAAACGTTGAAAAAATAAAAAAAATAAAAAAAAAAATAAAATTTATCATCAAAAATATTAAGTCTTGAAACATGCTCCCAAGAGCAGCTGTGAGCGTTCCTTCTCTTCCCATCTTCCATAGGGAGACACTTAAAACACACATGTCCCCAGCAGGTCTAAATGAGAAAATTAGAGAATTGGAGGCAGAAGAATGGAGTCAAAGACATTTCATAAACCATCCTAAAGTCTATGAACAAAACTAGGACTAACAGAAAGGCAAAATATGTCTGATGCTATGAAGATTATGAAGATGATATTATGAAGATGATATTCACTGGGTTCATAGTGATGTGTGATAAAGCAATTATGGCAAAATGTTAATAACAGAATCTAGATAGTACAATTCTTTACCTTTTTATGCATATTTGAAAGTTTTATAATAAAATATTGGGGGGGGGGAGGTAAAATTTACCTTCTACACGAATACATTTCCATGCTTGTGTTATCTGACGGGCTAAGGTTGTCTTCCCAACCCCCTAAAGAAGAAAGATGTTATTTAAAACCCAAAAGAACAGTCATTTGCCAGAGAAACAGATATTCACGTTTAAAAGATTATATTTATGGTTACAATACATGAATATTATCAAGTAAATTTTTTGTCAACAAAAAAAATGAAGAGCAGACCTTAGATATTTATAGCATAATTTTTCTCTATAAGAGTCACATTTGCCACATTTTATGAAATGACTTAAATAACATTTTTAAATTAAGAAAATAGCCCTGAAACCAGGAAGCTGTACCATTATGGCATTACAGGTACTGTCCTCTTTTGATTATCAAATTTTGTAATTTTGAATACATATAGTGATTCTACTGAAACCTGTCACTTTATTTCCTTTCTAAAGTTTATAACAATGAATGTTTTGACAGACTTCCATTTAGTAACTTCCAAGAGCAAAAAATTCCTTCTTAATGGACATCTATGAAAAGTGTCATCTTTTAAAGATAAAAGATCACTTTAATGAAGTAACATTTGTACCTGACTGCTCTTACTGTTGACTCTTAAAACTCTATTATATGTTAAGAAACATAATGAAAATTACTGGAACTATTTCTTGGTACCTGTCCCAGGGTCTACATAAAATTAAATCAAGGATGGGATCTAGCCTTTGGTCTCTGCTATTCTGGAGAGCCTCTTTAATTAACCAGCTCAGTTTCTCTAATGGTAACTACCAACTAGCTCAATGGCTAAAAATACCTCTCATCTAGAGGTCCTTACTAGGAATGCCTAGAAAGGCACGCTATCTTATGACAGCCATTTTTGGTTTCTTTTTATTTTGTGGAAAGATAATATATAGGTCTGCTAATGCACTTTGAGTAAAGGTGAGGCACATTGCCTCTCAGTAGCTTCAGATATTAATGGGAGAGGCTCCCCGTTTGACTCCATAGTGTCTTGCCTTCAAATACCCAGAGAGTCTCACAACAAATTCCACAGAAAATTTTATATGTCAATTGTGTCTAAAATAACCTGGATCACAGACTACTAACAATTTTCATGGTGCAATGTTTTGATTAATTAATTTCTTCATAATATAAAAACAAAGATAAGTACAATGTCAGTTCCTTTCCAATTATAAGTGCACAAGAGAAGAGAAAGCTATGAAATTACCACCAATATTATATTAGTTTTTAAGTCATACAACTAAAGTCTAACACTCAAAGAAGTCATCATACTATGTAGTTTTCATTCTTGTATGGTAACATAATATTATGATTTAAAAAAAAAAAAAATTAAATAATAAGTTACAAGAGATAACTTACTGGTTTCCCAAATATAACAAAGCAAACAGGTTTAGACAGCAAAAAGTTATATTCAGCTTCATCTTCATTAAATATATCTGCAAAAGGATACTCTTCTGTATTCTCTTCAGAATTCATAATATAAAATACTACAATAAGAAAAAATAAGATTTTTAGTGACTAATTCAGTTGGAAAAGGCAGGCAGGTTAGGGAAAATGAGAATATCCTGAGAATTTACTTAGCCCCAAAGCCATTCCACACCACTAAACACAAGGATTTTTCCCATACTGACAAAAAAGTTAAACTCCTCTATTAAAACAGTAATAAGCTTAGTTTGAGACAAAAAGCAAAATCTAGTTATACATTGTACAAGACAGCTAAAACAAAATGTTTCAGAGAGATTAAATTAAGGGAAAAATACATACATGCAAACATACACATATTTGTGTGTATTCAATTAAAGATCAAATTACATATGCTATACACATATATATATATATAATGCAGTTACACACACACACGTGTGTGTGTGTGTGTGTGTGTGTGTGTACATGTGTACATGTGTAGGGACTACTAATGGGTCTAACAGAAATCCAAATCCAATACGTAGAACTGGAAAAAAAAAAAGAACATATATATAACAATATTTATAAGATGTAGCTAAAGTAGTATTTAGAAGCATTAAATGAATTAGAGCCAAAGAAAGTCTGAAAAGTACATGAAATAAGCTCACCACTTTTAAGATGTTAGGGGGAAAAAAAACCCAGGAAAAATAGAAAAATATATTTTAAAAGTTAATAAAATAGAAAACATATAGAGAGAGGGTCACCAGAGCTAAACAGCGGTATTTTGAAAAAATGTAAAAATAGAAAACTTCTGTCAAGATTGTTCAAGTAAAGAAAACAGATGGCACAATTAAACAATATTAGACATTACGTTTTTAGAAGTATGGTTTCTTATATCTCAAAACAGATTTGTCTATTTTTGTTGTTGTTTATTTCTAACTTTCGTTAATCAGAGTATGTTCTCTGATTTCAATTTTTCAACTCTTTGAAATTTGTTAAGGCTTGCCTCGTGGCCTAGTGCATGGTAGTTTTTTTTTTTAATGTTTATTTATTTTTGAGAGACAGAGAGAACATGAGCGGGAGAGGGGCAGATAAAGAGGGAGACACAGAATCCAAAGCAGGCTCCAGGCTCTGAGCTGTCAGCACAGAGCCCGATGAGGGGCTTGAACCCACGAACCGTGAGATCATGACCTGAACCAAAGTCGGACGCTTAACCGACTAAGCCACCCAGGCACCCCAAGTGCATGGTAGCTTTTTAAAAAGTTCCCTGATTCCTTGAGAAGGATATGTGATTTATGTCTGATGCAGTGTGCTTTAAATGGACTACAGAATAACAATGCTGCAGATATAATATAGATAATGCGAGGATACCACAAACAAGGTTATCCCGAATAAACTGATATTATTTCTAAGAATTGATAAATTCCTAGAAAAATCAACTTCTCAAGAAAAAAAAAGAGGAAACCTAAGTGGTTCTATAACCATAAGGAAACAGAGTCAGTAACTAAAAATCTTCCCACAAAAAGTGTCATTGGAGGAAAGTGGGTGGCAGGACCAGAAGGTGGGGCTTAGTGTGTTTCTCTTAGAGAGGCCTCTGCCCTGCCAGGGTCTTTACAGAGGCCCTGGGCCCCAATTTCATAGTTTATTTTGACCAAAGACTTTATGAGGAGGTGGAGAGCCCCCTTGTTCTGTCAGTTTTTGCTCAGGAAGGGGATGGGGGTAGCCAAAGTCTCCATGGCTTCTTTCGTTTGAAAATAAATTGTGTCTTTGGGGAAAAAATAAAAGAAACCAGATGGTTTTTTGAAGAGCTCCGGACGTACAAGCTTCCAGATACAGAGAAAAGATAAAGTGGAGACTTCTAACATTAGTTTACGTATCTCATATAACCTTTACCTAAACGAGAGAGAGTGTGAGAAAGCAAAATTATGTACCAGTTTCATTCATGAACAAGATTTTAAAAATCCTAATCAAAACATTAGCTAACTGAATCCAGGAATATATGAACAAGGTAATAACATCATGACCAAGTTGGGCTTTCCCCAGGAACTCAAGGTTGTTGAGAAATTAATTTATCATATTAAAACAAAAGAGAAAAACAACACGATCATCTTAATAGATGTAGAAAAAGTGTATAACACAATTCAACACCCTTTAATGATTAATAAAAATCTCTTAGCAACTAGGAAAAGAGGGGAATTTCTTTAATCTGATAACAGGTATTAACAAAAGACAAACATATTTAATGATTAAATATTAAAAATGTTCTTTTCAGGGGTGCCTGGGTTGGTTAAGAATCTGACTCTTGGTTTCAGCTCAGGTCATGATCATAATCTCGTGGTTTTGTGGGTTCAAGCCCCACGTTGGGCTCTGTGCTTGACTGATAGTGTGGAGCCTGTTTGGGATTCTCTCTCTTTGCCCCTCTCCCACTTGCACTGTCTCTGTCTCTCTCAAAATACAAATTAGAAAACTTTAAAAACATGTTCTTTTCAGGTAATAACAAGACAAAGAAAGAAAACTGTAATTATTCCCAGTTGATATGATTGTCTACATGAGAAACAAACATATCACAGATAAATTTTGAGAATTAGCCTGATAACTCAATTTGCTGGATTCAAAATTATACAAAATTCAGTTGCATTTCCCTTTTTTTTTTTTTAATTTTTTTTTTCAACGTTTATTTATTTTTGGGACAGAGAGAGACAGAGCATGAACGGGGGAGGGGCAGAGAGAGAGGGAGACACAGAATCGGAAACAGGCTCCAGGCTCCGAGCCATCAGCCCAGAGCCCGACGCGGGGCTCGAACTCACGGACCGCGAGATCGTGACCTGGCTGAAGTCGGACACTTAACCGACTGCGCCACCCAGGCGCCCCGCATTTCCCTTTTTTTAGTATTTATTTTTTAATTTTTGAGAGAGCGTGAGCAGGGGAGGGGAAAGAGAGAGATGGACAGAGTATTAAAAGTGGGCTCTGCACTGACAGCAGTGAGCCCAAAGCGGGGCTCGAACTCATGAACCGCTAGATCATGACCTGAGCCAAAGCTGGATGCTCAACCAACTGAGCCATCCAGGTGCCCCCAGTTGCATTTCTGTACACCATTATACACCACGACTTGCTAGAAAATGTAACTGAAGATAAAAAAGACTTATTTTTGCAGCAAAATAATAAAGTAACCAGGATTAAATATTATAAAACGTATACAAACTCTTTACGGAAAAATGACAAAATCTTATGAAATGACTTTAATGAGCAGAGTTCAAAAATGGAACCAGCGGTCTGAAATGCTGTTCATGAAACAATAAAAAGTGGATTATGGGGCTATATGCTTCCAGGTAAAGGGATATGATTATATTTCTCTGTGGAATTTAAGACTATTCAAATGGACTTAATATACCAATATTATTTTATAGTGTCATTATGAAAAAAAAGACATAATAAGAATTATTACCAGTATACTAAAAAGATTGAGAAGAAAACCTCATGACAAAAGAACTAAAATTTCAAGCTTTTTTTAGTACCAAAAAACAAGTAATGCTACTATAAAATCTAATTATAAAGGAGAAAATGCATCTAAACCTTTTATAGAGGTGGTGCATTTATTAAAGAGTCTCTTTTAAGTACACTAAAACCAGGGCCCTAAGGCCTGGGGTGGGGACATTTAGGTGGATATCTGAGTACTTCGAACCCTAAGATTTATGTGTGTGAGGCAGGAAGCTAGGCATGAGTGAGTGACAGGAGGATGGACCTTAGACGTCCTGATGAAGATGCCCAATGGACAACCGCCTGGGGACCACCCCATTCCACCCATCTAAGGTCACAACATCCCAGCAGAGGAAGAATTGAGTTTGTTGTGCTTGTTGCACTTGTGCAGACAGCACCCTGTTGTCCTTATTTGGTGTATGCCTCTAGAATAGAAATAATGTTGTTTTCTACCTAGTGCAGGCATTTTGAATACGTCTTGGGAAAGGGTGTGTGCAGTTGGCTAATTATTATACAATCCAGGCCTGTTACCCAAATGTTGCTACCTTAGGACCCACTCAAAAAAAAAAATTGATATAAGCCTACACCCTGGGGTTTCTGGGGCCTTTGTCTCTCTTGACTGGCCTGCTCCTCCCTTGGAGTGTACTTGAGTAAAACTTTGCTCTGCTTTACTTTCCCTTTGCTGTCCTGTAATTCTTTATTGTGGCAGCAAAAAGAACCCAGGCTTCTTCCCTTTTCCCTCTAACACTCAGTAGCACCTGGAATGCCTTGCACTGACAGAAGTAGCTCCTCCCTCATCTCTGGAAGGATAGCAGCCTCTCCTTGCATCACCTGAGGCAGACACTTCAGAAAACAATGCTTGCCCTCCACAAGATCTGCTTCAACTTCCTCATAGCTTTTAGACCAGTAACTGGGGTCAAGCATCAGCCCGGCCTGGCTGTGGAGGCACTGGTACAGGAAGAAAGGTATTGTGTGCCTAAAGAATTGGAGGGCCTGGCTATGACGTACCAACAGGAATCAGGAGAACATGCCTAGAAAAGGATCTTGAGGGTGCTGAGCAGGGGAATGGAGAGTAGATGAGAGTTTATTGATACGTGGGCTCTCTCCCGTGACTCAAGGTGTTAACATCCTGACTAGGACACCTGGGGTGGGTCCTAATTCACTGCTGGTAAGGTTCCTTGAAGCTTGGAAAAGAACAACAGCCTGTAGTAAATGTGGTAGAAATGCTGGAACTGCCTTGGTAGAATATAGAGTAGTGTGTCAAAGGCTCGAGAAGGTGACATGTTAAATGGATTTCACATATGAGGCTAGAGAACTGATAAGCCAACTCTGCTTGTTGGGATGGCCAGAGGACACTCCCCTCATTAAGGCTATAAGGAATGAACTAGTAAGGGGGCACTAGTATCCTTAATAAGCTCAGTGGTGGCTGTTCTTTGTAGGCCAGAACCGAAGGTAGGGGAAAGGCTGCTACGATACTGGGGTTCCATGTTTCAGTGGGGATGACAGAGTCTTGAAAAGCAGAGGCCAGATGGCAGCACTTAACCATCAGAAACAAAGTAGGTGTAATTACTACAATGGGCAGGAAGTCCAGAATG